CCACCACCCGCACTACACCCTCCCTCACCCTAGGGCGCCACCCCATACACACTACCTGTACACCCTCCCTCACCCTCATACCCCCTACCTCACACCCTTAGATCACAACTTCAATGTTCAGTTCTTGGTAAACAGTGTCTCTGTGCTGATGAACCACCTGAGGTAATAACGTCGTCAATAATCTTAGTTGATACCTGCAAAATTAGTATTTAGAAAGGTTTTCTATGAACGTGATTCATATTAAGTTTATGACCAAACTCACGCACTCTCCCACACACCAGCCCGTCCTCGTAAACCCTGGCCAAATGGTGGTTAATGCGGCAACCACCACCCTCCCTGTTTATAACAACCCATCCTTAGGCCAGGTCCATTCCATCCAGCGGTCGACCCCACAGACGCATTTATCAATTTTTACATGCTGTTCATTCAAAACAGAAATTTTCTCAAATATAAATTAATATTTTAATATATTAGCATATTGTGCATATATAAGCATAGGTTAGGTTAGGTTAGGTTAGGTGTTTAGGTTCTGTTGGCGATTATTTGTATTTGTAGTACGTGGTATTCGAACGTCATCGGTTGTGAGTCGTGTGTAAACCGTTTTTCATTCATAAACAGGGGGTTTGGCGGGTGCATGGAATCACTTTTGAGTCTGTTTGGAGGACGGGCTGACCCGCCAAACCCCCTGTTTACGAATGAAAAATTGTTTACACACGACTCAACTGATTTCGTTCGAACACTTCCGGAACACGTGCTTCACCCACGTTCTAGAAATACAAATAATCGCCAACAGAACCTAAACACCTAACCTAATCCATGTGTATATATATGCCCAATATGCTAATATTTTAACACACACACACACACCTAGGCAGCAGCCCGTAACAGCTGTCTAACTTCCAAGTACCTATTTATTGCTAGGTAACAGGGCATCAGGGTGAAAGGAACTCTGTCCATTTATTTCCCGCCATTGCCGGAGATCGAACCCGGACCCTAGGAATGAGTCCCAAGCGCTGAACCCCATCAACCAGCAGCCCGTCCTCCAAACAAAGATCCAAAAGTGATTCCATGCACCCGCCAAACCCCCTGTTTATGAATGAAAAACGGTTTACACACGACTCACAACTGTTGACGTTCGAACATATCCGGAACAAGTGCTTCACTGACGAATTTTGTTCGAATCACAACGCTATAAATGCTTCACCCACGTACTACAAATACAAATAAACGCCAACAGAACCTAAACACCTAACCTAACCTATCCTATGCCTATATATGCACAATATGGTAATATATTATAATATTAATTTATACTTGAGAAAATTCCCGTTTTGAATGAACAGCATATTAAAAATTATGAATGCGTCTGTGGGGTCGACCGCTGGATGTAATGGACTTGAGTCGAGGACGGGTTGCAACCAGGTATCAACCAGGTATACGAGTGATGACGCTCTTGGAACGTCTAACGTCTGACGACGTTAGGTGTCATCAGTTCCAAGGGGGTGGGGGAGATGTCTTCACTCCGACACACACAGGTTCTTGACACGAGCTTCCCATCAGTTGGGTTGTGTAAAGGGCCACACCGAGGTGATGCTTGCATGTAGCGCAAAGGTCAGAGGACCAGCAAGCCGTGACACTCCCCCAGGAAACACTGGTTATGCATGACCTCAGAGAAAAGTGGGTCTAGGAGGAGGTGACGACAATGCTTGGCTTGAACACCAGGTGACTATGTTCATTCTTTCTGCTATTACATTAACAAAGGTCTGTCCTATTTCCACCAGATGGTCGGTCTGGAGCACAAGAACACTGTGACGAGTGCTCATGTGGTCATTCATCTGGGTTACATAATGTGTGTTGAGGACACATCTGCACCTCAAGTCTCCCCCGCCCCTCTCTCCGATATTGACACCATCACAAATGCTCGTACTAAAACTATACACAAAGGTTATGGGAATGTTATACAGACTAGCAGTAAAAATAGGTACCTGGGTGTTAGTCAGCTGTCACGGGCTGCTTCCTGGGGGTGGAGGCCTGGTCGAGGACCGGGCCGCGGGGACCCTAAAGCCCCGAAATCATCTCAAGATAACCTCAAGATAGCAATGCGAACGCGATAATCTTAATGATTAGCGAAATTTTCCCACCTGTATAATTTGCCTGTGGTCTCATGCACGCAAGCAAAAGTTGAACGTTGCAAACCTTATATTCTGCTCTTATTTGTAAATGTGATCACACGTTTGTGGCATTACTGGTATTGTGTAGTAGCTGTGAGCGAGGGAGGCAGATATGGCGAAGAGGCGTGGGAAGGTGGAGGGGGAGTAGCATAACTAAGACCTTGAGTGGGCTTACCTGCTTGATAGAAGAGGGAAGAAAGTGGAGAAGGTGGTGGTAGAGGGGAAGAACGGTTACGGTTACCTTACCTTACCACGAGGTTATCTTGAGATGATTTCGGAGCTTAGCGTCCCCGCGGCCCGGTCCTCGACCAGGCCTCCACCCCCAGGAAGCAGCCCGTGACAGGTGACTAACACCCAGGTACCTATTTTATTGCTAGGTAACAGGAGCATCAGAGTGAAAGAAACTCTGCCCATTGTTTCTCGCCGGCGCCCGGGATCGAACCCGGAACCACAGGATCACGCGTCCAGTGTTTTGTCCGCTCAGCCACCGGCTCATGGTGGTCACATTTGGACACATTTGTCGAAGGTTTTTGCGAAATCTGTGTAAATTACATCAGCGTTTTGTTTGTCTTCCATGGCATCTTATGCCATATCATAATGGTCCAGCAACTGCGACACGCAAGAGTACCCTGTTCTGAAACCAAGCTGTCCGGGGTTATGGAAATGCTGTGATTCCATGTATTTTGTGATCATCTTAGCACTCTCTCAAAGATTTTTATGATGTGCGATGTTAGTGCTATCGGTCTGTAATTTTTTGCCTCTGCCTTATTTCCTCCTTTATGGAGTGGTGCTATCTCTGCTGTGATTAGTATATCAGGGATAACGCCAGTATCTAGGTTTTGTCTCCAAAGAATGTGAAGGGCCTGCGATAGTGTTTTTTTTACAGTTCTTGATAAATATAGAATTCCAAGAATCCGGGCCTGGTGCAGAGTGCTTAGGCATACTGTTTATGGCTTCTTCAAAATCCAGTGGAGATAGGGTGACAACTGATATATGATTTGATGTTGGTATCCATAGAAAATTCATTTGTATTATAAATCTTCAGTGTGTTTAGTGGCTCGCTGAAAACAATCATATTGATTCCTCAGTATATCGCTCATTTCTTTGTTGTCATCAGTGACCTTTCAATCTCACTTTCGCAGGGGCCCGATACTAGATGTGAATTTTTATCTTGATTTTGCATAGGAGAAAAAATATTTCGGATTTCTCTCTATTTCACTGATGGCCTTTTGCTGTTTGCCTCTTCTGGGTTTTGTATGACTCTTGTAGCTTGAGTTCAATCGTGTCTATTTCTCTACCTAACCTTCTTCGCCGTTCTTGAGATAGGGTGAGACTCTTAAGTTGTTCCGCGATTAGTTTTCTTCGCCTATATAGAAAACACCGTTCTGTTCCAATCTGCATCTCTTCCTCTTTTTTCTCAGGGGTATGCGGTGGGAGTAGCAGCGGAGTGACGAGCCTTTAAGTAGGATTGGCTCCAAATGTGATAACCAACCACTCCTACGATAACCAGCTCACTCCCACTCCAAGTCTGAAATATGGGTTTGATCACTGAATGCCCAGTTATGAGACCTTTCAGACCAGTTGGCATGAGGTACCTGGAGCTTTGCAATTACTTTATTCACTCTCGTGTTCTTGAAGATATCCTCACAGTATACCCAAAATTTGCCAGTGCAGGCTATTAAACATATGGCCTTGTACGATCCCAATATGGGTCACCTATGCTTGCAATAATGGAACGATCCCAGGTCTATAAAGTCGGACGGAGTGTTTCTGGTGCATGTTGTTGCATTTCCACCCAGTAAGCCCACTGTAATAGTGAATGACACCCCATCAATAACCCCTCGACTCCGTGAATGACACCCCTAGACCCATGAATGACACCCCTAGACCCATGAATGACACCCCTAGACCCATGAATGACACCCCCTAGACCCATGAATGACACCCCTAGACCCCATGAATGACACCCCTAGACCCATGAATGACACCCCCTAGACCCATGAATGACACCCCCTAGACCCCATGAATGACACCCCCTAGACCCCATGAATGACACCCCTAGACCCCATGAATGACACCCCTAGACCCCATGAATGACACCCCTAGATCCATGAACGACAACCCTAGATCCATGAATGACACCCCTCGACCCATGAATGACACCACTAGACCCATGAATGACACCACTAGACCCATGAATGACACCACTAGACCCATGAATGACACCCCTCGACCCATGAATGACACCCCTCGACCCATGAATGACACCCCTCGACCCATGAATGACACCCCTCGACCCATGAATGACAACCCTCGACCCATGAATGACAACCCTCGACCCATGAATGACACCCCTCGACCCCATGAATGACACCCCTCGACCCCATGAATGACACCCCTAGACCCATGAATGACACCCCTCGACCCATGAATGACACCCCTCGACCCATGAATGACACCCCTCGACCCATGAATGACTCCCCTCGACCCATGAATGACACCACTAGACCCATGAATGACACCACTAGACCCATGAATGACACCCCTCGACCCATGAATGACACCCCTCGACCCATGAATGACACCCCTCGACCCCATGAATGACACCCCTCGACCCATGAATGACACCCCTCGACCCATGAATGACACTCCTCGACCCCATGAATGACACCCCTCGACCCATGAATGACACCCCTCGACCCATGAATGACACCCCTCGACCCATGAATGACACCCCTCGACCCATGAATGACACCCCTCGACCCATGAATGACAACCCTCGACCCATGAATGACTCCCCTCGACCCATGAATGACACCCCTCGACCCCATGAATGACACCCCTCGACCCAGGAATGACACCCCTAGACCCATGAATGACACCCCTCGACCCAGGAATGACACCCCTAGACCCATGAATGACACCCCTCGACCCATGAATGACACCCCTCGACCCATGAATGACACCCCTCGACCCATGAATGACACCCCTCGACCCATGAATGACACCCCTCGACCCATGAATGACACCCCTCGACCCATGAATGACAACCCTCGACCCATGAATGACAACCCTCGACCCATGAATGACAACCCTCGACCCATGAATGACACCCCTCGACCCATGAATGACAACCCTCGACCCATGAATGACACCCCTCGACCCATGAATGACACCCCTCGACCCATGAATGACACCCCTCGACCCATGAATGACACCCCTCGACCCATGAATGACACCCCTCGACCCCATGAATGACACCCCTCGACCCATGAATGACACCCCTCGACCCATGAATGACACCCCTCGACCCATGAATGACACCCCTCGACCCATGAATGACAACCCTCGACCCATGAATGACACCCCTCGACCCATGAATGACACCCCTCGACCCATGAATGACACCCCTCGACCCATGAATGACACCCCTCGACCCATGAATGACACCCCTCGACCCATGAATGACACCCCTCGACCCCATGAATGACACCCCTCGACCCATGAATGACACCCCTCGACCCATGAATGACACCCCTCGACCCATGAATGACACCCCTCGACCCATGAATGACTCCCCTCGACCCATGAATGACACCCCTCGACCCATGAATGACACCACTAGACCCATGAATGACACCACGAGACCCATGAATGACACCCCTCGACCCCATGAATGACACCCCTCGACCCCATGAATGACACCCCTCGACCCATGAATGACACCCCTCGACCCCATGAATGACACCCCTCGACCCCATGAATGACACCCCTCGACCCATGAATGACACCCCTCGACCCATGAATGACACCCCTCGACCCATGAATGACAACCCTCGACCCATGAATGACAACCCTCGACCCATGAATGACAACCCTCGACCCATGAATGACACCCCTCGACCCATGAATGACACCCCTCGACCCATGAATGACAACCCTCGACCCATGAATGACACCCCTCGACCCATGAATGACAACCCTCGACCCATGAATGACACCCCTCGACCCATGAATGACACCCCTCGACCCCATGAATGACACCCCTCGACCCATGAATGACACCCCTCGACCCTTGAATGACACCCCTCGACCCCATGAATGACACCCCTCGACCCCATGAATGACACCCCTCGACCCATGAATGACACCCCTCGACCCATTAATGACACCCCTCGACCCATTAATGACACCCCTCGACCCATGAATGACACCCCTCGACCCATGAATGACACCCCTCGACCCATGAATGACAACCCCTCCTCGATAACGCAATAAGGAAACATTCAGGGTAACACCATACAGAGTGTACCACGGTCACAGACAATTGTATAGTTAACCTAGAGGTCAGAGGCGGAAATAAGTCACTAGCAGTCATGTTACTTACACGGTGGCCCCTTCCACCACGACGGGTTGACAAGCTCTCACACTCCACCGTACCTGAAACACAGAGAAGGCACGTAAGTCACACTGGCATGCGTGAAGTATACATTACATATGAACAAAATTAGAGTTGTAGCAAAAACATTAATCGTTGAACAGCGATACTTAAGAGTGTCTCTCCTCACTGTAACTGTGTGGACTATGGTGCCCAGTTCCCCCCTGATCTTTGTGACTGGAACTCCTGGTGTTAGTCATTGTTTTTGATTTGATTGACTGTTACTCTTTGTGTTCTGTTCGACAGGAAATTGAGTATCCAGCGTCCTACTTTACCAGTTATTCCCATTGACCTTATTTTGAGTGATATCACTCCATGGTCACATTTGTTGAATGCCTTTGCAAAGTCTGTGTATACAACATCTGCATTTTGTTTTTCTTCTAGAGCTTCTGTGATTTTGTCATAGTGATTGAGTAACTGTTACAGACAGGATCTGCCCGCTCTAAATCCATGTTGTCCTGGATTGTGTAGCTTATTATTTTCCATATAACTAGAAATTTGATTCCTAATCACTCTTTCAAAAACTTTTATTATGTGTGATGATCAATCAGCCTCTAGCGTCCCTCCTACAGAGGTAGGGAAGGGAACTATCATCACCGAAACGTCGTCGTTTCTTCCCTTTTCGATGGGCGGTTTGGTCATCACAACTATCAAGAGAAAGCACAGAGCCATTACGACTATATAGCACTTGGAAGGAATCAGAATAAGGATTTGGGTTGGGACGCGGGAAGGAATGGTGCTCAAACCACATGGACGGTCGGGGGATTGAACGCCGACTTGCATGAAGCAAGACCCTCCTGCACAAGGGTACAGGGGAACTGATCCACCAACACAGCAGCCATCATCACAGCCACTCAACCAGGAGCAATCCCAAGCCAAATTTCTGCTGGAGTTACCTGATCAGCATGCTGGTGACGGCCATGTGGGTCTTCGGGCTACGAATACAAACAGCCTGACAGACCAGGCAATCATCAGGGGGAGGCTGGCCACAGGCCACGCTGAAAGAGTACAACTCCCTAAATCGCCAAAATGTATTCAAAAGTCAATATCTATTCCCCCCCCCCCTTCATCTACCTACAAGCATGCCTGCCAATTCAGGTTAAAATGATAATGTCAGTAGACATAACGTTCAGAGAGTACAACAGTGCAAATATTATAACTGCTAGGAAAATAACAGGTTGGATAATGAGAATATTCGAAATAAGGAATGCGACATCAATGATGGTATTCTTCAGAGTACGGCTGTTATCTCGTATGGCATATTGTTCAGGCTTCATATTCCCTTTCAAGGCAGGTGAAAAATCAGAGGTCGAAAATATTCACAAATTATTTACTGTCCGCATAGAATCAGCGATGCCTTTAAATTACTGGGTTTACCTCAAACACTCAAAACTCTTCGCTTTGGGATGGAGACGAGAGATGTAAATTACTGGTGTATTAAGTTAATGTGTGTTATATCAGTCGTGTTGTATATCAGTGATGTATGTCAGTGGCCCCAGAGAGACCGCATACAGCCCCGCTCCTGTGCCAGGTAAGTCCACTACGGGCTCACCATAGCCCGTGCTACTTGGCACTTTTGTTCCCAGTAGCTGAATCTACAATAACAACGTCCGCGATGCTTTAAGTCAGTGTTGTATATCAGTGGTGTGTTCAGACAATGGTGGTGTACATCAGTGGTGTGTTAGATCAGGGGAATGACAAGTACTATTACTGACAGGGCATTGTTTACATATAAACAAGTACTATTACTGACAGGGCATTGTTTACATATAAACAAGTACTATTACTGACAGGGCATTGTTTACATATAAACAAGTACTATTACTGACAGGGCATTGTTTACATATAAACAAATGACAATATACACTGTGACACTAATTTCACTTTAGTGTTTTTATCTGTTGTATATAACTACGTAAGCAAGTGTTCACTACTGGTGGGACCAGTATTATTACCATGACTTATTATGTAACAGAATGTGAACAAAGGACAATGCTGAGGCCATCAGGGAGTTCAGACATAGACAACAGACGAAGCTCTGAGAGTTCCGAGCCCTCTGCCAGGATTCATAACGCGGTCACGTCTCCACTTACGAGACCTGTATATCTTTCCTCGATCATGGCGACTAATCATGTATTTATTACAGTTTAGAAACTTGGAAACGCAGCGAGGTGGTTCTCGACCCAAGATCAAGATTATTGTTAACCTCGTATCACTTCTGAACTCATAAACTATATATTAAATGCAAACTAAGTTGCCATGTTTGAGGATAGATAGATAAATAGATAGGTAGAGATAGATAGATAAATAGATAGGTAGAGATAGAGAGATAGATAGATAGAACATATATTTCCTGTTGAGATTCCTAACCAAACACAACATATACAAGCTACAATAATTAATATGGTGGGGGCCCACACCTACACCCCCCCTGGACAGGTGGCATACTCCCCGGGGGGCGCCTCCCCCTAAGTGAAAGTCACGCATCATCTGGGAAAGGAAACCAATAATAAAGTGGGTTAAGCAAGGCCGAGAATGTCAGCGTGTGAAAAAAAGGTTCCGCCTCATTAAATGACAAATGTTCAGCTGGCCCTAACCTCCCTCCACCAGACTGAGGCACTTCACTTGTGACTTTGTGTGGTGGTGAGTGGGGTGCAGGGGCGGGCGCCGGGCGTGGAGGCCCTCCACCTGCCGAGGAGCAGCCCAAGCGCTTCCTACCTCCTCACGCCCCACCCCACCCGTCCCTGCACCTCTCCCACCTTCCCTGCACCTTCCGACTGTGACCCCCCTTCCACCGTCAAAATCAGGATCGACTAATTACAACCTGTGTCGTGAAGCGTAACATCAGTTCAAGGCGAGCTTCTTGCCCGTTACGGTGACTCCTCTTGCACAGTAACGGTAAGTGCTCGCCACGCTGCTCTCTTATGTTCATTATATACTGTTCTTCTTGTCATCCCCTGCCTCTGTGGTCTTCCCTCACCTTCCCTCCGTGCCTGCACCAGTGTCGTCACCTCTACCACCAGGACCACGCTACTAGGACCACACCACCAGGACCACACCACCAGGACCACACCACCAGGACCACACCACCAGGACCACGCTACTAGGACCACACCACCAGGACCACACCACCAGGACCACACCACCAGGACCACACCACCAGGACCACACCACCAGGACCACACCACCAGGACCACACCACCAGGACCACACCAGCAGGACCACACCACCAGGACCACACCACCAGGACCACACCACCAGGACCACACCACCAGGACCACACCACCAGGACCACACCACCAGGACCACACCACCAGGACCACACCACCAGGACCCACCACTTCACCCCGTGAGTTCCTTGTGATGTTGGGCGCGGAGAGCATGACAGCACACTTAAGTACCGCCCCAACATTTACCCGTCTCCGCCGTAATAAAACACATCCAACGTCCAAATTACAATTTCCTTTTCTCGAAATCACATTAATGTTTAGCCTCAAAGTCTAACCGAAGATATTACGCTCTAGTAAATGTGCTCATCCACCCTCTTAACCACTCACTCATCCATCCACCCCTCTTAACCCACTCATCACCCACTCATCCATCCACCTCTTCAATCATTCATGACTTCAAGAACCATTTAGATAAGTTATTTCAAGAAGTGCCGGACCAACCGGGCTGTAGTGGATATGTGGGCCTGCGGGCAGCTGCAAGCAACAGTCTGTTGGATCAAGTTATCACAAGTCGAGCCTGGCCCCAGGCCAGGCTCAGGGAGTACAAGAACTCCCGAGACCCTCTCCAGGTAAGATCCAGGTATGAATGACTGAGAGGGTGTCCCCAACATTGTCCTGGAGGGAGGCCCTTGCACAAGGGTGTTGGAACTTTCACAGATGACAACAAAGAAATGAGTGAAATGCCGAGGCTTCAGAACGATTCTGTTTTCAGTGAACCCCTGAAGACCACATTGAAGATCGACGAATTAAATGGATCCTTCATAAATGTGACACCAACATCGAACCACATGAGATGTCACCCTAACCGCACTGGACTGTGAAGTAGCCATAGACAGCATGGCCATGTACTCTGCACCAGCCCCAGACTCTTGGAATTTTATATTCATCAAGAAGTGCAAAATACCACAATCACATGTCCTAAACATCTTTTGGAGACGGAGCCTAGATACTGGCGTCATCCCTGACATACTTAAAACAACGAAGATCGCGCCACTTCACAAAGGAGGTAGTAAAGCAGATGCAAAAAATTATAGCCCAATAGCTCTAACCTCACACATCATAAAAATCTTTGAAAGAATGCTAAGAACTAAGATTACAAATCACATTAATCACACCATCTGCATAACCCTGGACAACACGGGTTCAGAACAGGTCGCTCCTGCCTCTCACAGCTGCTAGATCACTATGACCTGGCCTCAGGTGTCATGGAAGACAAGCAACAAGCAGATGTAATATACACACTTTGCAAAAGCTTTCGACAAATGTGACCAAGGTGTTATTGTGCACAAAATGCGTGCAAAAGGAATTACTGGCACAGTAGGGAGATGGATCTTCAACTTCCTAACGAACAGAACGCAGAGTGTAATAAATAAACAAGTCCACAAGGAAAGGAAAACGTGGAAACGTGGCCACGGGTGTTTTGCCGTGCCGGGGAATCGAATTCGTGTCCAGTCAGTTGTGAGCCGAGTACGCCTCGTGGTGTAGACTGTGGACACCGTAAACCCGAGTCTGTTCACAGGGAAAATACTCGCCATTCTCAGACGGCCGTAAAACATGTGAGTGAGGGGCAGGCCTGCCCCGCTGGCCTGCCCCGCTGGCCTGC